CCTTCCAGGCTCTGAAAGATGAATTAGTAGGAATTTGCCACATACATCTAGCAGAAGACTATTTCAGGTCATTGGAACAGCAAATGGAAAGACTGACCTTTTTGGGGAAGGAAAAGATATGTGGTGTCAGGAAGAGCCGTGGGATGGGAGAGTTGAGGCTGGGAGTTCTGGAACACTACCTGGTGACAGGCAATTGAACCACAATGGGGAACTCAGACCTCATCCTAAAATAGGGAGAAAGCCACTGAAGACTTTTTAATAGTGGTGGGACAAAAGCAGATTTGTATTTTGAATGTTTTGCTCTGGCTGCAGAGGGTAGATGAGGGAGGCAGGGTCAAGATCTGTGGCCAGGAGATCCTTTAGGAGGTTGTGGCAGTGGCTCAGGCTTTGATTAAGGAGTGTCCCTGGGAAAACTTCGGTCTTGGTGGTCCATTGGGTATAGGGGTGAGAGCAGGAACACTGACAGTGATCCTTATGTTTATATTCCAATTGACTAGGTACCCTTGGTTACAGAGTGTGGTTCTGGGGAGAAGAAAGAGTATAGGTCAGGGCAGTTTGAGGTGTCCATGGGCTCCTTTTCACTTCCTGGCTTTACCTGAACCTGGCTCTTTTCTTAGGAGTCAGCTTCCTTGGCCCTCTCAAAGGAAGGCTGACATTCCATGGATCTCAGGGCCTGCAGGCTTCGAATATTCACCATGTTCCCAATTGCTGATTCTCCATCTTTTTTCCTTTAACTGGTAACTCTTTGGAGGTCAATGCCATACATCTGTACTACTTGTTTAGCCCCTTTATTGCTGTTATCTGCAAATATAGCAATCAATGAAGTTGACTTTTTTTCATCCTACTCCAGCCCTGTCCTTTCGGGGGACCAGTGTGGGTGACAATTCAGTATGCCTGCCTGACACCTGCTGGACTTCCTCTCCCATCCCACCAGTCACATCCCCAAGAGACAATCTATAACTATCTCACACTTGAATTCTCGGTTTCAGGTCAGCTTCCTGACAGCCATTTCCTGTCCATCTAGCTGACTTGTTTTAGTGTCCACATCACATAATTCTCTAACCTCATCAAGTCCCCATAATTTTTCATTATCTACCAGGCCTTTTCTGTTTTTGCTTTGTTGTCTCCTTAGCTTAGAGCAGTCCACTATTATAATCGCTTGTTCATGGACTCTCAGCAAACTTGCCTGTGTCTATTTTACTTGCCTAGCTAACCCTTAATCCTAAATGAACCAGACTGTCAGTCACCACTGCACCTGAGCAGCTGAACATGACTGAGAAACAAAAAGCACAACAACAAAAAAACCTGAAAAACTCAACTGCATCTACTGTTTGCACTTTCAGTTCATGACCACAAACCTTAAATAAGTACTTCAACATTGAGATCTCTACTTCCTCACCTTACAATTGGCCTTTAGGCCACTTTGTTCTGCCACTAAGAAGCACTGATCTATCAAAATCCTATCAAGGTCAATGAAACTTCCCAGTTTCAAAACTTAGAACATACTTCTCAATTCTTGTTTTTCCCTCTTTTTGCAGCATGGGGCAGTTGACCCTTGCTCCTGGGAACATTTTCTATCTCAGGTTTTGTGAGATCACAAGCTGGGTTTTCTTCTCTTTTTCCATTTTTCTTTTTCAGCCTCCAATGCTAGCTCCTTTAAATGGGTGCATAGCCAGTCATAGTGGCACACGCCTGTAATTGGTAGTAATCAGTAATCAGCCTGTAATCAGTGCCCTGAGTCTAATCTTCACTGCCAAAAAAAAAAAAAGAAAAAGAAAGAAAAAAAGTTTAGGTGCTTCATTGCTGATTAAAAAAAAAAAAAATATATATATATATATATATATGTGTATATATATATTTGAACCCAGGGCCTCATGCATGGTAAGTAAGCACCCTATAACTAAGCTATACCCTTGTCCCTTTCATAGCTCTTTTTTTTATTATAAAATATATATATAGTAGATGGACACAATATCTTTATTTTATTTATTTATTTTTATGTGGTGCTGGGGATGGAACCCAGCGCCTCACATGTGTGAGAGGAGTGCTCTGCTATTGAGCCACAACCCCAGGCCCACAGCTTTTTTTTTTTTTTTTGATCTCATTACATATTCTTCCTAGGAAACCTGATGCTTACTTCTCCAAATTTATATCCAGAGCTATGGCTTCTTTCTTGCATTCAAGTCTGATGTATGTATATGCTAATTTGACATCTCTGCTTGGATAGTTAATAAACAGCTAAAACCTAACTCCTTCAAAAATAGATCTCTTGGGCTGGGGATATAGCTCAGTTGGCAGAGTGCTTGCCTCACATGCACAAGGCCCTGGGTTCAATCAATGGCACCAAAAAAAAAAAAAAAATTAGATTTCTTGATATTCTCCCTCCAAACAAACCCCAAACACTTTCTCCAATTTGAAATCAATTCAGTTATTCCAAGAATCATAAACCTTTCTTTCTTTTCCCCTTCATCCATATTCAATCTGTTGGCAAATTGTTTTCCTTCCAAAATTTATCTCAAATTCATTAACATTTGTTTGTCACTGTCCCATCCTGATTCAAACCATTACTAACTTTAGCCTCATCTTCTGCAATACCTCTTTGATTACCCTTCAGTAATGTCTTCTCTTTTTCACATACTCCAAAATGAGATTTAAAATAATGTAAATCAGAGCTAGATTCTATGGTGCACACTTGTAATCCCAGCTATTTGGGAGGCTGAGGTAGGTGGATTGGAAGTTTCAGGACAGCCTAGTTAGTTCAGCAGAACCTTATCTCAAAATAAAAAGGGCTGGTGATATAGTTTAATGGTAGAGCGCTTGCCTTGCTGTGTCAAGGCTAAATAAATATATAATGAAGTAAGTCAGCTCACTCCCCTCCCAAGGCTTCCATTTTAGCCACACTAAATTCCAAACTCTTTGTTGTGATCCACAAGGCCCTTTGTGGGATGATCCACACACATATCTCTCTAATCTCTACTCAGAGCCACTTGTTCATTAGGCTGCAGTGTAGCTGTCCCACTCTGCTGGCCTCCCTTCTCTTCTTTGAGCTGAGCTCTTTGATATTGAGTCTTCATAGTGGTTGCTTCCTTTGCCTGAGAATGTTCTTCCCTAGAATCTTCAAATGAGACATCTTGTTTGTAATCTCAACCCAAATATAATGTTCTGGGAGATGCTTTCCCTGAAAATGTTATCTAGAAGAAACTTCTTTTTTTTCAGCTACTCACTCACCCTATTAATTTCAATCATATCACTTATTATAATCCAAAGCCTTATTTATTTACTTACGAATTGGGGTTTAAATTCAGGAGTGCTTTACCACTGAGCGACATCCTCAGTTGTTCTTCTCCTTCTCTTCCTTCTTATTTGTACTGGGGATTAGACTCACCCAGGGTTGCTTAACCACTGAGCCACATCCCCAGCTCTTTTTTTATGTTGTTATTTTGAGACAGTGTCTTACTAAGTCCTCAGGGCCTCACTAATTTGCTGAGGCTTGTCTTTTCTGAATTTTCAATCCTCCTGCCTCAGCCTCCTGAGTCTCTGGAATTACAGGTGTGAGCTACTATGCCTAGGTTTTTATTATTATTATTTTAAATTTTGAGAGAGGTTCTTGCTAAGTTGCAGAGGGTCTAAATTGCTGAGACTGGCCTTGAATTTATGATCCTTCTGCCTCAGTCTCTTGAGTCACTGCAGTTACAATGCCTGGATAAAGTGCTTTGTTTAAATATTCATTTGCTTCTGTCTTCTGAGTGTCCTCTCACCCTGGGTATCAGTGTTATGAGGTTAAGGATCTGGTCTGTCTAGTTCACAATTGGACCTCAGATCCTAGAGACACCTCTAACTCATAGTAGATGCTCAGTAAATGCTAATTAAAGTAAAGTTGAGAAAGTTGGATATGCAGTTCTGAACTTCTGTTGAAAAATCTGGGAAGGAGGTAAGGATTAGGGAATTATTATTCGTAGAACTGGGAATCTAACCTAGGGCTTCACACATGCTAGGCAACTCTGCTACTACATCCTCAACCCTAAGATTTGGGAATAATTAGACAAGTTTTTTTTTTTTTTGGTGTTTTTGTTTTTGGTGGTGGTGGGGATTGAACCTGGGACCTTGCACATGCTAATTCAGTATTTTTTATAAGAAAAAAAAACTGTTGGAATTGGCTTCTCCTGTTTACTTCACCTGGAGCTTACAGAAACCTATGCCTTTTCAGGGTAGGAACAGAGCTGTCTTCTATAGTCCAAGTACATTAATAGTAGGGGTTTAATAAACATTTGTTGAATGAACATAGAAATTTAACTGTCATACTGTTGGTTGTTGTTCTGTTCCATTTCTTTGAGACTGTTTTCAAAAGGCACAACACTGCTAGAATGGGGAAGAGGACATAGGGCGGAGTAAGGTTTTTTTCTAAACCTTGGCTTTCACACCTTGATTTTACATAGTAGGTTCCTTTCTGGATGCCAGTTTGAATTACATGTCAGATTTTGCTAGTCTTAACTCACCCTACTCAATGGAGCGTTATTATCGATTTATTTTATGGTTTTATTTATTTATTTATTTATTTATTTTAACTTTTGATATTTATTTTTCAGTTTTTGGCGGACACAACATCTTTCTTTGTATGTGGTGCTGAGGATTGAACCTGGGCCGCACGCATGCTAGGCGAGCGCGCTACCGCTTGAGCCACATCCCCAGCCCCTATTTAATGGTTTTATACTATGAAATGCACAACATTTTCCTTATTTCAAGAATCTTTTTGTGTATTCTTCATGAAAAGTGAATTATCAGTATATATTCCCTGTTTTGATAGTTGCTTAAAATGGGGAACATCAGCATTAAGTTCGGCTTTCTAACAATGATTAATTCGCACACCATCTGTGTAGAGTTTGATTGCTGATGGATACTCGCCAACAACTAGACAACTACTGCTTCTTTTGGGCTCTTTACTCCCAAACCACTTGCTTCAAACTAGAGGTGGCGTCCTGACCCTCTGCGACCTCTTTGTCATGGCGTCCGCGGGGCGTCTACTAGCGAGGGTTTGGCTGCCAGCCGGGCGTGGACCTTCCCAAGATGGCGGCAGCCGGGGCAACAGCGCTCAGGGGGCGGAGCTCCACTGCCGGAGGCGGGGCAGGGAGCCAGAGGGTCGGGCTAGCGGGCGGGCAGCTTCTGAAGTAGGCAGGCCCAGCGCGCTTGCGCGGAGCGGCCCTGCGCGCAGTGAGGCAGTGGCGGGGGAAGGCACCGGTGGGGCCGACTGGCGGGTTGAAGGAGGGAAGCGGGCGAGCGAAGTCCCAGTGCGCGCCGCGGCGGCCCGGGTACCCTCCCCTTCCGGGCTTGAGGCGCTGTGAGAAGAGTCGAACCGAGTGGACC